TCTTCGTAATAACCTTATTATTATACATCTTTTCCTTCCAAGGATAAATCATGGGAATGCCGAAATCCAAAAAGTTTAGAACAGAATCAGCGAACTTATTTGTGTAGAGTCCGGTCAAATCCTAGTGACAGCCATGTTTGTTTTTATTATCGGAGGACGTTTACGTGTGCAATCATTCCATATTTGGAATTCGCATTTCCTAATATGGTAGTATGAAAATACCCCGTAAAATACCGCAAAATTACGGCACGCTGTAACTTATGGTGTTACGGTGACAGATGTATAATAATTCGATATATTTACAGCTAGTAATTACATGCCACTACATTTACTTCTGCTCAATGCTACATGAGATTTATTTACACTTCTAATACAAAAAATAAAATTGTTGTCTCTGTATAGTGATTTAATCAAGAAACTGCAACAACTTTGGAAAGATTACCAGATTTCACTGACAGCTGTAAGCCTTGAAGACTATCTGAGTTTGGAACATCTTGGCCATACGCTACAATATCTTGCTACTAAAGGTGAGGTTGTTACAGAATAACATATTAATTATTTGCTCTATTACATTCATAGATACATAGATTCAATTTTTGTTGTTGATTTCATAACATTTGATAATGAGATGGGGTGTTTCCTTTGTTTACCAGACAAAGTTAAAATATTCAAATACTAATTTGCATATCTTGGGTACAGTGAGATTGGGTACAGTGGCTTATCAATATTTTGAGCATGCTTAACTGATGATTATTGATGATGCTGAAGAAAAGTAATATATTCATTTTGCAGATCCTGTTGAACTTAATAGAAATTTCCCAAAGTATTTAAACACTGGAAAACCAAATCTTGTGGTGAGACGCAAGGGTAAGTGTATCATCAGTTAGAGTGCCAAAAAGTGAATGTAACTCCCTACAGTGAGTTAAGTCTTGGCTATAATTACGTTACATAAACCTACTCCCAATTTCTGAAATCTTTTTTAATGCTAATTTTTCACCAAATTATATTTGAGTGTGTACATTTGTGTTTCAGTGTGTTACTTGATTTTAAACGAATGAACTGCATCTATCTTTAAAAGATGGCAATTATGATATTGATGGTTCTTAACAATAATAAACAATTCTCAATGATACTTTTCTATTTTCTACCAGATGAAATTTTAAGAGATGTGCTTTCTATATATATGGCTGATAAAGATAAACCATTGCCTTCTTATGATGAAGTCTTGATATGTACACCACAAACCACTCTGGAACAAGTGAGTAAATTGATAAAAGTGTTCCTTTCATTTAAAACTTTTTTGAAAAATCGGTCTTAACATTGGTACCTCTTGGATAAAACCAGCCTTCTGTAATGATTGCATGATTTTGGTCAAATATATTAATCACAGCCAACTAATCAGTTGTTCAAAATGTTATCTCAACAAGACATGTACTACAGCCCAATATGAAAATTTGCTTTCTTCATGTTATAATTATAATAATCAAAATATATTTTATTTTGTGTATGTACTAATGAATATATTGTGGGAATATGTAAAATATTCCCCAAATACTGAACATAATTGTATCAAATTTATGAATAATAATAAACAGTTGTTGATTAGGTTGTGTTACTATGGCGACGTGCTATGTTTGACAATTCTGGTAAAATTTACTGTTTGGTGAATGCTGATCAGTTGGACTATGATATAAGTACGACTGCTGAAGTCAAGCGCAATCAACTCACACAGGACACTCGCAGGAATACAGGTAATGCTTACAATATTATTTGCAGAATCGACACCCATAACTATAATAAAAACAATCTCTAAAATTCAGCAATTAAGGTGTCAAAGTAGAGACAATTAATCCCAGGGATTGTATCCGGCAATCATAGGAAACATTTTTTATTAGTCCAGTTAGACGAAGTCTGAAAACTGGAACTTAAATTTAGATGTAGATAGATTCACCACAGTATGTCAGTCTGTATCTCATTCATGCTGGGTCGATCTATACACATAATTTATGCATGTCAATTTATTTCATTACCCTATGCAAGATGCCTATAGCTCTAAATTGTACCAAAATTAAGCAGTTTTATCATTTCAGAGCCGGATCTAAGTCATACATGAATTTGTTTAAACTTGTTTCAAAGATGGATAAAAATTTGCCGACTGGTGACTATTTCGCTTTAACGACTGTCTGGAGCCTTTTTTCTAATATGCCATGGTTGATTTCATTTGAGCTTTAACCATACAAACGACATTCGATAACTGACTGGAAGAAGTTTTTGTTTACTATTTCA